TGTTTCCAGTATTTAATTATAAAGCATTGGGGGAAAGAATCCAACAAAAAAAACAAGATAGACACATGCCCTGTAAAGTTGGGTTGGCATAGGGAAGGCACTTCTCTGTCAGTCACACCTGGGAACAGAAATCATTGGTTAGAATGGTCATGGCTTGTGACACTTGGCTGTGGGGCTCTTTTGCTCCTGCTTCCTTGCATTTGCCTGTATGGCCTATGGCAATATGGACCCCACACACAATGGACTACAGTAGGAAACACAAGCTAAGTTAGCCTGACGCTGAACTGGACTCTGCTCCAATATGGAAAGGAAACTCTGAACACTGGCTGTGATTTTAGCTTTACTGAAGCCCCAGCTACACTTCTTCTATGACTAAACTAAGGGAAATGGCACTTTGAAAACCCAGGGGTGTAATTCCATGGAAATAAAGCTTTCTACCATATCTCATTCTCCTGTTGGGGCCTCCTGAAATGCTTATTCCAGTGGTATCCCAAGAACCCCAGTCCCACTAGCAACCGGGGGAGATGAGACCCACACCCTTCCATTAACATATGTATCTAACATTTTACTAAAAATATTGCTACGAATAGTCAACAAATGAGCATTAGATTTTCTTGTTCTAAAAAAGCCCATATTTTTTAAAGTGATAAAAATCAATTACTTTAATCATATGCCACAGTAAAAATCAATAAAAGGTGTGCATTCCTGGAAAAACTGTCCTTTTGATAGATTTTGTGTAACATATAAAACAAATTCAACTAAAAACTAATATTTCTTAAACATGAATATCATAGAAGGATAATAATGTTATATCTTAGAATCTCTCCCAATCTTGTGAGCTTTGCTCCACTGCGACTGTCATTGACTAAAGTATTGGCACTTCTGTGGTTCCAGTATTTAATTGTCCCATCATTCAAATATTAAGCTATGAGGTTTCACTAATTTGTGTCTATACCAACTTAAAGACTGTTTCCGCAAATAATTTTCAAGTTACTTTCATAACACACCCTTATTATGATTGTTATATCCCATGAACTAGCTATGTATCCGTTTTAGAGTTTGTAGTCTTCTTCCAATGTCCCTTGAAACATAATCACCTACACACCAATTATGTTTGTCATTTGTAAACAAGGAAATCATTACCACTCTGAAACTCTATTTTTTTAAATATATTTTTATGATTTCAGAGAGAAAGGGAGAGAGATAGAAATATATATGCCAGTGTCTGTGATGACTAGGATGACCAAACATCCTGTCACCATGAGGTACATTGAGCACCTCTTGGTCCCTCCCCTGCAGCCCACAGGCTTCGATCGCAGCAAGGCGGGTGGGTGTGGCAGCAAGCCTGGTGGGGCAGCAGGCAGGTGGACGGGGCCACGAATATGGCAGGGCAGCAGGCATGTGGGCAAGGTGGCGAACGCAGCTAGCAGTGGCAGGCTACAGCGTGCGATTTTGCGTGCTGGGCCTCTAGTCAATGAAAAGAGAGAATCATTAATCAGCTGTCTCCTGCACACCCCACACTGGGGATCAATCCCACAACCCCTGCATATGCCCTACCGGGAAGTGAACTGTGACCTCCTCGTTGATGCTCAACCACCGAGCCACACTGGCTGGGCACCACTCTGAAATTCTTTAATGTGTATTTCCAAGTCTCAGAAATAAAAGATTTACATCTTTGTCTTGGAATTGATATGGGGGAACCACATAGATCATGAGTTTAAACTAGGCACTCATGTATCAAATGAACCATGAAAACCACAGAGGATAAGTGTTTTAGAAAAGATGATATGTCTGCAACATTTTTCTTACAGAACTGTATCTGCTGTGGTTTCTTCTCAGTTATTAATGTCACCATGACAGTCAGTTGACATTTTAAAGTTATTAATGAAAGAGCCACATGTCAATAAACATCTTTTTGTCAGGATATCGACCAAAACTTACAAATGTGAATGACTGGATTTTAATCTGGGGTTTTTCGTCTCTATTTTGGTTTCCACCTTCTTTTCCAGGATCTTAAATTAAGTACTCTGATTTGTTGAATGATTGTTAAACCATTCAGTTTTATTTTTTAGTTGAGTTTAGCCCCCAATATGTAAACAACTCAAAAAAGAAAATTAATGTGAGAATAAAATATTGGAATTTCATAAGCTAATAAACATCATTTAACTATGCAATCTATGTAATGGATGAGAGGTATTCCCTGATGTATTCCTGAAGTTGTAAATAAATTTAAGAATTCAAGGGTCCTCTGGTGGCATTTATAATTCTTTTTTTTCCAAAGTATGTTCTATTCAGCAAATATTTATTACATGCTTCCTATGTGCAAGACAGAGCAATAGATATTTCAAATAATACAAATATGTGTAAGGTACAATTCTTACACTCTGAAAGTACAAGTGTCTATGTTGGTTTGGTTTTTATATGAAGTGCCTCTTCTAATTATTTTTTCTTCTAAATTAATAGTGTAGCACTTTCAACGCATTCATATTTTTAGAACCTCTAGTTAGAAATGAGAACCAGCACTCCTATCTCATTCCTATCATCCAATTAATGTATTATTTAAACAATATCTTGAATTATGGAGTGAATATGGTGTGTGTCCATATTGCATCAAATACTTTATCATTTCCAAAATTTTAATTCTTAATCAGTGAGTTGTTGCTTCCAAACTACAAGCTGTTAAGAAATGTAAGTACTTAGAGGATAAAAGGACAGATTAACTATTAATGTAATGTGCCTGCAATGGTTGACACCCTACTTAGCATGACCATTATGTGCTACAGTCTACAAAATTATTCTTCATGCTCCCACAGCAGAGCTGGAGTGCCATATGGCCATGCTTGTTTTTCGTCAAATAATTTTTACATAAACAGCTGGTGAACCGTTTTTATTGTAACAGTGCACACATTTTTTGAGACAGTTGGGAAGGGTTGATGCAACTCCAGTCACTGCCTGCGTTCCTGTCAGTGTGAAGGAGAAATTCAGATTCATCTTTTTAAAATGTGAACTTTTGTATTCTTGTCACTATGGCCTGTTGATAAGAAAGATTTTTAATGGAATGCAGGAATTATTGGCATGTTTATAAACTTGTAGCAAGAAATAGAAACTAATCATAAGGGACCTTCAACTTCACGTGGCATATCCAGTGTTTTTATTTTTACACTCATGAATTTTTAGAGGCAGAGCTGATATGTTTTGGACTATTTTATAAGCAGTTTTAATATGACTATATTTGGTTTTGAAACATAACTTCAACACATTCTGATAAGTGATATAATAACCAGAAGATTTTTTAGCAGTTTTGTGTGTATCTGTGATTTGAGTTGATTTAAAAACTATTTAATCCAAAACCACCCCCCACCTCCTTGACAAGAAAATCTATGTGTGAAAACACCAGTGAATTCAAAAATGCAAGTAGAGGCATTTTCTTTTGAATTCTAAGGTAATGACCACTCTTCAGATTTTTGTAAGGCGATTATCACAGTGCTTAGAATGTTAAATCTTTAAATCTAATTTTATATTTGATACTTAAAAAAAACCTCCATTACCAGTATCCTGGTAAGGATTTGTTTATTATTACATATCACAGATTCCTTATTCATAGTATATTTGAGACTATAAAATATGTTTCATTAGAGAAGGGAATGAATTTTTATTATTGTGCCATTACAAAGGTTAGGACCTTTGGGTTAGAACAATTGAGTTCATCTACCTTTTACATACTAAAGGTAAATGTGTGTAAAATGTAAGAGAAAATAAGATTTTTTCCCCAACCCTACAGCTTTCATTATATTCACCCATCTGTCCTTTGTGTCTTTGATTAATTCTACTCAGGGGCACAGCTATTCTCACAGAATATTTTATTTTGAGATTCAAAATGGAAAAACAAAGGATCCTTTTTCATGTGTCTTATGTTTGAAGAAATTCTATTCTGGAATAAGCTTTACAATAGTGAGTACATTTTATCAGTAAATAGTCATTTCAACATAATACCTGACAGCAATTTGCTTATGTAGATTTTAATTTGTACCTCACTGTTATTTTCTCCCAATGAACTATGCACCAGATGGAATAGTTAAAAAAAAATGAATCAAGGGAGACAATAATTTTTGTAAGGGTGTTGTTTTTCCCCCAAGTAAAACCATTCATATTATTTCACTAAAAGTCCAATTCTAGGAGATAATCAATTATACAAATGACTTTAACTATTAAATAGACTATGGAATGATTAGGGGACATTTCTCCATGGGTTGCTTGTATTTTTTTCACTTTTGAGGCACTTGTTCCAGACAATTTTTTCAAGGACTTCTTGTGTGTAGCAAGCCTTGGGAGATTATATATATATTCTCCAGAGCAGAGAAAGGCATGCTCATTATACACATTTAAAATTCCCCAAGCACAGGGTTCCTCTCCTGCAATCCAATTCATTGCATGATCTGGTGTCACTTGTCCGTCTTGATATCACTGTGATTCCTGGGGTTTGGGTAACCAGTGTGAGAAAATATAGACACTCCGCCTATGGCCATTGCTATGAATGATAAAGTTCTTTTGCTCTTACCTAAAAGCCTCATGTATTCTGCAAGCATCCATAGAACTGTGGCTGACTATTAGCTTGCAAGGATAAAAATCGTAGCTGCTTCACAGTTGTTTTTTATTTTTGGTGTTTTTTTTTTAAGATTAAGGATCCTTTGTTTATTCACAGTGTTATATTAAGCAGCTTATTAGGAAATTTGATAAGATCAGCTGAAACCAAGAAAAACGTGGCAAGTAACCCACTTCACAGATTATGATGTTAAATGATGTTTAGCTAAGAAGTTATCCCCAGTTAGAAGTTAGATGTCTCAAAACGTTATAGCAATATTCAAAGATCCTCTCCGGTGTTATTCAACTGATCATCAGAATGCTAACTTAGCAAATTGCCGGTGGCCCTGACAAATATTCACTGTCAGTATTTCAGAGACATCTTCTTAAAATAAAGATTCAGTGGGAGGATCACGTCACTATTTCCGATGCGAATGTTTGGAAATTGCCTTCGGTCTTACGCCCAAAAATCCACTGCAGTTTGGGGCTCCACATCTGCAAATGGTTTTTCCACTCCCAAGACTCTGTAAGTTGTAGTTGAAAGTAAGTTCTGTGCCTGCTTTAATGTCACACAGGGCAAATAGGCCAACACGGGTATCTCCTTTCACAGACCACTTCTGCGTTTCACAGTTGGGATCGCAGCAATGATTCATAAAGCGAGTATAATTACCCCTCGGTCCTGCATCAATTACTCTATCTCTATCTAAAGTGAGCATGTAAAAATTAGTGACACCGTGTTCTTGGGCCTGACGGATTCGAGCCCTGCATTCCACATCATCTATCAGTTCTCCCACATACTCACTCACAAATTCACCCTTTTGAATATCTGTTTTGGCTCGAAGACCCCAGCCCCTCTCCAATGTGCGAAAAATTTCCACCTCTGTGTACTGGCGCTTAACAAAGCACTGGTTTTGGCAGCGTTCTCCGGCTGGACATACTGCGGGGTGGCATTCATAGAAGAGCAGACGGTTGATACAGTCCGAGTATATCCCACAGGGATTTTCATCAGTTGCCCGGCAATTACATTGGGGGATTTCCGACAGGTCGACAGTGAAGATCTGTGCCCGACCAACAGGACGGTTCCTCTTTATATGTTTATAAGGCGCTGGCTTCTTATAGTTCTTTTGTTCTTCCTGCAGCTGCCTTCGTTCTTTTTGTGCCTTTAACTCTACAAACCTCGCTGCTGCCTCCCGCAGAGCTTCCTTATAGATGCCATGTCTTCCCCTACGGAGCTTGGCCCTGATGCTTAGGTCCTGCTCCAAGTAGGGGAAGACTCTGGCCTGATGGGTCCACGCATAGTCCTTGGAGCCGAAGAAGAACACGGGGAATTCCCCGATTTCATGTTCCATGTTACTCACACTAGCAGGTACAGCTTGAGGATGGCAGATCTCAGCGGGCCACCACCTGTGATGGCCAAATTTGACCCAAACAAGTTCCGTGTAGTGAGGTTTTTTACCAGCCCTGCAGTTGTTACAATACCAGCTGCCTTGAGGGAAGTCAATGCCCACGCATTTTAGGTGAAAAGAAGCAGGGCAAGCCTCACAGCACAGGAGCCTGCCCCCCTCTGAACAGACAAAACACCATCTAACGTTGACCTGTTCATGATCTTTGCAGCCCGGCCTAGGTGTAAAATGATTAGGGCAGATGATACTATTAGGTGTCAGGATTTTTGACCCAGCAGCCAGACAACAGTCATTGGCATGGTATGCCACGGGGCAGCGCACACATCTCATTAGGTGGTTTCTGGATGCACAAATGCTAGTTGAATTAGCAGACTGGCATGTTATACATGAATGGCGTGGGCAACGAAAGCCCCTGTCCTGCATGACAGTAGGTGGGTATTTCTGGACACAATTTTCGTGATAAAACTTTCCACACAAGGGCAGAAGGCACCTCTTAACGCCTGCTCCACTCCGTTTACAAGAAAAACATGTGTGGGTCCCTGAGCGACATTCATTGCAAATAAATTTCCTCCTGGGCACCTCTGTTAACCCCAGGCACTCTAAGTGAAAAGCCCCATGGCATCGACCCTCACACAATAGTAATGAACCTTCTTTCTCGCACTTCTGACAAACATCCTCCTTGAGTGCAGCAATGCCACCTCTTTCGCTGCGCCTTCTTTTAGGTGCACGCCTCCCTTGGTGGTCCTCCACTGCCTCTTCAGCAGCCTTCCTGATCTTCCCAGGCTTCTTGCGCTCCATCAGTTCTTCCTTGCAGAGCTATTCACAGCTCTTGACAGCAAGCACACATCTCTATTTTACCTGTTTGCAAACAAAATGCAAACAAGATTAGCCTTTAAAATAGCCTCTAAATGGTGTAAAAATAGATGGAATTAACATTTTTCATTTTGCCCCTGATTTGTTTTATGATACATTTCAGTATGTTTCACCAGTTGTAACTTCTTCAAATCGCATATAACTAGCTTCAAATATATCATTGAAAAGTGAGATATGGCCCTGGCTGGTTGGGCTCAGTGGATAGAGCATTTGCCTGTGGACTGAAGGGTCCCAGGTTCGATTCCGGTCAAGGGCACATACCTGGTTGCAGGCTCGATCCCCAGTGTGGGGCCTGCAGGAGGCAGCCGATCAATGATTCGCCCTCACCATTGATATTTCTCTCTGTGTGGCCCTATCCTTTCCTTCTGAAATCAAGAAAAAATATTTTTTTTTTGCAAAGTCAGAGATATGTGATATGGTGAAGAGTAGAAGTAAATTGGGAAATATACTTTTTATATCAATTACTTATCGAAGTGACTACAACCATTTCAACTTGTCTATTTGTAGCACTGTATTCATTCCTTTAACAGAGCATCAAACTCACTGAGATTAATTAATGGTAAAAGTAAACTATAGCCCGACCTGCATGGCACAGTGGTTGAGTGTTGATCTATGAACCAGGAGGTCACAGTTCAATTCCCTGTCAGGGCACATGCCAGGGTTGCAGGCTTGATCCTGTGTGAGGCCTGCAGGAGGCAGCCAATCAATGATTCTCTCATAATTGATGTTTCTATCTCTCCCTCTCCTTTCCTTTCTGAAGTCAATAAAAATATACTTAAAAAAAAGAAAAGAGTAAACTCTATATTGCTGAATATACATTATTTTTACTTGTTTTTTTTATTTTAAATGTCAGAACTGAAAGGATATATATTGACATACCATATATTTATGTAAATCATATATATTCATATGAATTATATTTTAATTGTATATTTATATCATTTAATATATTTCAATATTATTTATATATTTGTTATATATAAATTTGTATGTGTTTTATTCACATATATTTGAGGAATATATGTGAATATTTAAGCCACATCACTATCACTGCCATTGCTAATTATTTATCTGAATTTCTTTTGTGTTTAAGCAGCATGAACAATTAAAAAATGTAGGAAACAAATAATTTTACTCATAACTTGCATTGATTACCTTATTTAATTATGTAAAGTAGTTACAGTGTTTGCATCGGATCATATACAAGAATATGAGGGAAACAAAGGTATTTACTGAAAATTTGCATGACTTTCTGTCACAGACTCTTGTCCTATTCCCTTCCTTGTGTCTTTTTTCTTTTCAGTTTTAGGTACTGCCCACTTTTAAACATGCACTCCTGTGGAAGAGGGAGGAAATGCAGTTTTACATCCCAATGTGATGCTGTAGATATCATAACTGAGCTCTACATGCATGTGGCAGCTATATTACTATTTCCATGTCACAGCTATCTATATTATAATGCTTGCCAGAACAGAAATATCTTCTCCCTGAATTTCATCAGCATTAGATTAATTCACTGGCTCCAATGTTGACCAGAATAATGGTACTGGTGGGGTTAGAGTTCTGGACAACATCACAAAGTTATTTCTATCACCAAAGGATTAGCCTAAAGAATAGGTACAGTTCTAGTCAATCATTTTTATGCAGTTGCACTTGATGTCATTATGGGAAACTTGGAAGCTAGAATTAGAGTACATTTTTTATCCTTTAAGAAACTTTTCTAGCTCAGCAGATTATAAATACTACTAAATATTCTTCATAAATATCTGCATGATGCCATGTTTAGGATTAGACCCTAAAAACCCAGATATAAGTAAACATGAAAAAAGAGACTTTTGGACATTCACCATCACAGTTACAAGAAAAGGCAGCTCAGAAATAACCCACTCCTATATGGGCAATTAATCTATGACAAAGGGATCAAGAACATACAGTGGGGTAAAGACAGTTTCTTTGATAAATGGCATTGGGGAAACTGGACAGATACATGCATTAAAAAAATGACACTAGACTACCGTCTTACACCATATACAAGAATAAACTCAAAATGGATTAAATACTTAAATGCAATATCTGAAACCATGAAACTCCTAAAAGAAAATAGAGGCAGTACAATCTCAAACATTTCTCTTAGCAATATTTTTCTGACATATCTTCTTGTGTAAGGGAAACAAAAGAAAAAAATTAAACGTTGAGAATACATCAAATTAAAAAGTATTTACACACCAAGGGAAAACATCAACAAAATAAAAAGACAACCCACTGACTGGGAGAACATATTTGCCAATGATACATCCGGTAAGGGGTCAATATCCAAAATCTATAAAGAACTCAGACAGCTCAACGCTAGAAAAAGAAACAACCTAATTAAAATGTGGGTAGAAATGTGGGGAGCCGATATAGGGTAAGCCTCTGAACTGACCTGTTGGCAAAGTTACAAACAAGTCTTCTTCCAGTCTTAAACAACCCAATCCGAGAGGTGGCCGCTGATTTACATGCGCTGTCATTTAAAAAATAAAAATGGGGGAATTTGCCGGAAGCCGGTCCACCCTTACTGCTTGACACAGTCGCTGCAGGGAAGAAACATCTGCACAGCTTATGTTTCAAGGGACCTGGCGTATATGGCATATGTTTGCTCCGCCTCTTAGCGCTATGTGTTTTAAACAGGACCACCTCCCCAAGAAAGGTTGTTTCCCCAGGTGGGGATTTTTCCCTGGAGTTAGGGATTAACAGGACTAAGGAAGGGAATAAATCTGTAAAACCCCTTAACTAAGTGCCAGGCGGGTAGTTAATCACTTTATGAACAATCATGCTTAAGCTACATAATCTTTACTTAGGATAATCTCCTTCAGTTACTTCCTTGTAGCTTGATAGAACAACCTTGATAGAATAACCTTGGAATGGAGATAAGAAACGCCCTAACCTTTGGAATAGAATGGATAGGATTAAAGTCAACTGGTATAAATACAGATGTAACAAGACAATAAAAAGAGAACCTGGCTAGAGAACCTGGCTATGATGATCAATTGAACGCTGTCTCCATGTCATTCATTCTTTGCCGACTCTGTCCACACCTTTGGGAACCCCTGGACCAGCTGGGGCTGGACCCCAACAGATGGCCCCCCTGGCTGGAGAACCTGGAGAGAGAACCAACTATGCTGATCATCTGAATGCTGCCTCCATGTCCTTAATTCTTCGCCGACTCCATCCCCACCTTTGAGAACCCCTGGATCTGATGGGGCTGGACCCCAACATAGAAGGCCTGAATAGACACTTCTCCAAAGAAAACATACAGATGGCCAATAAATATATGAAGTTTTTCAACATCAATAATCATCAGAGAAATTCAATTCAAAACTACAATAAGATGCCACCTTACACCTGTCAAATTGGCTATCATCAATAAATCAACAAAAAACAAACAAAAAGTGTCAATGAGGATGTGGAGAAAATGGAATTCTAGTACACTATTGGTGGGAATGCAGTATGGTGCAACCACTATGGAAGACAATGTAGAGGTACCTCAAAAAATAAAAAAATTAAATTGCCTTATGACTCAGCAATTTCATTTCTGGGTATACATCCAAAGAAACTCAAAACACTAATTTGAAATAATATATGCACCCCCATGTATATTGCAGCATTGTTTACAATAGCTAATATATGGAAGCAACCCAAGTGTCCATCAATAGAGGAGTGGCTTAAAAAGCTGTTGTACTTGTACACAATGGAATATTGCTTGACTATAAAAAAAGAATGAACTCTTAACTTTTGTGACAGTATGGATGGATCCAGAGGGTATTATGCTAAGTGAAATAAGTTAGACAGAGAAAGACATAAACCTAAACCTGATATTGTAATACTTACACATGGGGCCAGGTGGGTACTTGAAATATCGGGGGGGACCACTCTGGAAAGTATGTGACTGTCTAACCACTATGCTGTACATATGAAACTAATACAGAACAATATTGAATGTAAACTGTAATTGAAAGAAAAAAAAAGGAGCTTGTGGTTGATGAACAGGTGGAGTTGCTGGGACTGTGGCACCTCTGCAGAGAGCATGGAAGGTCCGTGCCCCATCCCACATACCTTGTTGTCTGCCTGTCTTCTGATTGGCTATTCCTGAGTTCGCAGATGCTTACAGAAGGTATGATACCTGTGTCAGAAGCAAATGACAGTTTATTAGAGCAAAGCAGTATCCACAGTATCAGCATTTGTGTCAATTCCATGAGCCCCAGTTTCCACAGGGCAACAAGAAAAAGAATGAATGGGTGCCAGTTATCATGTGAGAAATGGCCCATGGTGAAGTGATTATTTCCAAGTGGATTGGCTGTGAGTAAACTTTTGGCAATGCCATTACCCTCCTGACATTCAAGTCTCCAAAAGCAGCTGTGCCAGCCATCCTGTACAGAAAGTGTTTAAGGAGCTGAACACTGGCAAACTGAGGCCCAAATTATTCAGCCTACCCTTGGACATATGCAGGAGGCATGTCAATGTCATGTCATTGGATCACCATTCTTACTTTGAACCAAATCAACAAGTCTTGAAAGTCAGATCTAGCCATTCCTCCACCCACCAATTGTACTTCACACAGCAAACTGAACCTTTTAAAATCAAGATATGGAGCGCCTCAAAGTCATGATAAAAAAGACTAACAAGGATGGTGAAATTCGGTGATCAGAGGTTACGTTTTCAAAGGGGCTGGCCTGCCCCTGAATGGATGAACTCAGGACATGAACCTATTTGCATCCTGTTTTAAACTAATTTCCAATCACTCCTGGTCTGCCTAGAACTACGGAATCATCAATGTTTCTATCATTGATACCTGATGTTTCTTTTTTAAATCTTTATTATTGAGAGTATTACAGATGTCCCTCTTTTTTCCCCCATTGCCCACATCCACCCAGTTCCCGCCATGCCCC